TCACTTTCCAGAGTTGGCTCCCTTCATGTGGTCGGTGTAGATGTAGATGTCAGGAATGAACTTGTTTAGGACGCCCCTGGCTGTGTCCACTATCCTGTTGGCCATCTGAGGAGAAACTCTCACTGAATATCTGGGTTTAGACTGTCAAGGACCTTTCAGATCATCAGAACACACATTTTATTCAATTGAAAAAGGGCAAGCTTAAACTGAAAGGAGCACGAACTTGAGAAAAAACAAAGTAAAGCTCACTGGCATTTGTGAACAGATGGAGTGATTAGTAAATAAATCAAGAGACTTATTCAACAACCATTTACAAATTGACTCATTGTTTATTTTTCATGCAAATATGCAGAAAATTAACTTGTTCGTGCTTCTCCAATGTGAGGATATAATGGATTTATGCGTGTACACATCTGGAGCTTTCACATTAAGCTGTAATGGCTTTTGAATGTCAACTTGTATCATATGTATATTGTTAACAGATGAAAAAGGGCCATGACTGTGAGCTCGACAAGGATACGCCACTCCCCTGATCCTCTTGATCTTCCCCGGGTCGGTCAGCTGCACCGGCCTCATCGTCCTGCGGGTTGGACATATGAAAACGACCTCTCCTCCCCCGCCAGGCGCCATACCCCTCTTCACCACCTGAGGGAGCATCAATAGAGGGAGAGTGAGAGAGCGAAGGATAGACTGACCTGTGTTCAAGTAGCAGTAGTATATTTGAACATAAACCCCCCCCAAATCAAATGTGACAGCATGCTTATCAGCAGATCACTATTGTGTGCTCACCTTGAGATCAAAGCCCTCTCCATCAATGCCAAACTGCTTCATCAGAGGGAGGGCTGTGGACTTCAGCACATCCACCTGCAGGAGACAGAGGGTTTACAACCATTAAGTTGGAGAAGACCGCGAAGTAAAGTGGAAACTCCTGGCACCAGAAAACCTGCACTGTTGTTAAGGAGGCAAATAAAACATTGATACAAATAAATGTTTCTACAAAGCTTGATCACAAGGTAAGAAACCATGCTCTGGCTCTGTTATCTGGATTTCTAGATTATATACGGCTTTCTTGCTGTTGTAAATGAACTGGTGCGTATACCAGACACCAAAGCAAATTCCTAGTATGTGTAAACGTACCTGCCAATAAACTTGATTCTGATTCTGAAACAGTTGCAAATCTGCTTGAGGTAGCCATGTTGCTAACGATAAGAACAAGAATGCTGATCTTTCTGTAAGTATTCTTGTCTGTTGAGATTTTAAAATATGCTTCTGCGTCATCACCGGGTTAAGATATCTACCATTTCCCAAAACTGCAACAAATTGTTTCCATGACAACACTTTTCTCTAGCGTCTGCAATGCTTCTTCTCAGTGCTGGTTTGTTGACAATATACATGTCAAAACAATGCAGCTCAGTGCAGAAAAAGGATGATGCATTGGCTGAGACTGGACTGCTATAACAACACTTCAAACGTGCAAACAAACTCAGAGACCATGGTTTAAAAATGTGGTGGAAAACAGACATCAGTTACAAAAGTATGTGAACCACAATCTGTTCACATTTGAATAATCAAGTCAATGTACAAATTGATTAAAAACCTGAATATGTTCCTTAACTATTATGTGTTCTTTACAAACTCTCCACCTCAGACATAAAATATGCAGTCTGTAAAAAAATACATAATTGATCTGACATATAATTACATGTACAATAGAGGGCACGCCCATGTGGATTTGGCAGGTGTGGACTTCCCATAAATTCAATTTACAAATAGGTTGAGGTTAGTCGTTTTAGTAATGAGCTGATGCATGCATGAGGGTCCTCACCGTCGGGTCAATGTGGTCATTGGTGACCCCTTTAAGCGTGGCCTTCAGAGAGGTCTTCATGAATGGAGCCAGCATGAGCAGAGCCTCCAGATAGTAGCCGATCGAGCGCTGAGTGTTACATTCATGTTCTACAGAGCCCCCGTACAACAAGCCAGGCTGGTAGAATAACACAGTACCTTGTGAGGAAAGACAAATTGTTGTTAGTGAGTCTGTATGTAGAAGGTGCTACTTTGCAGTCTTTTGTTAAATAAGCCTCTGAACATAACAACAGTTCAATTTAACACCAAATGCACGCAGAAATAACTAAACTGTAAAATTAATTATGAGAACAAAAATACAGAAAACATTGAATAATTTATACAAGGATGCCTTTTATGCATAGCTTAGGTGTTTATTCAATGATGACATCTCCACAATCATCTGGCAGTAAACAGTAATCAGATAAACCACATACATTATTAGAAAGGTAAACACTTCAGTCACATCATAATGATAACACTCACCTGTCTGGTTAATTTCTATTCTGGAGCCATTGGTCACTTTGTCTAGCAGTCTGATAAAGCTGGCCTCGAAATCTGTAGAAGAAAAGCAACAATGATACTCATACAGTATATCTTTAACCAGGCTTTCTGTGGCTGAACGCCATGTTTTAATAAAGTAAAGACCTTGATGGGACAAAATGTTGCCCTCTTTTCTTATTTTACATACAGTAACAAAACATTTAGAGTCAAACAAGTTGATTTAAGTATTCTTGCATCTACTGTGGGAACTTTTTAAGATTCTCACTCACATTAAGCAAGATAAGTCCCTCAAATAATATGATAACGTTAAGGCAGAACTCTGCTTTGCAAATACTAGTTCAAACTCTTGAAAGGCATAACAGCGACATAACTTTATACAATTACATTAACTTCACATTTGCAGTACTGTACTATCGTTTCCCCTCCTATGACTTCCAGTTATAAAACACACTCCCAACTGCGTAACAGCTAGCATGTTAGCCACCGAGCTAACTGCGACGCCACATGCAAAGTGGAGCTGAAACTCACCGCGGAGCCCCGGGTTGTCGTCTTTGGACCTTATGTTTTTTATTCTAACACGCTTTCCACTGAGTGTGGATAAAACTAGCCGCTGTCTGAAGAAATTGCAACCATCGTAATCGAGCCCGTGGCTGGCCATGTTATTGTTGTTTCTGCCTGGAGTCAGTGGGAATCCACGTGTGTTTGTACGGAAAAACGCTGGTGGGAGGCGAATATACGGCACACCACGAGGGTCAAAAAGGGAATTTACAGGTGGTTACAGTCAGACCATTCAAAATAAGACTTATTAAATGTATTACATTACTTATTTATTGATGCAGAAAATCTAGTCCACACGTGTTTTTGTTTTTTTAAACCTGGATTATTGTAATTATTTATTTTCAAATATAATTATCTTAAAATTCTCCAGTTGATCCAGAATGGTGTAGCATGGGTCCAAACCCTGGTCCAAACCTGCTGATTGTCATTATGCTATGGCATCATGCTATGCAAAACGAAAATAATAAAGATGATGGTGTTTATCTATGCTTTCAACTTTAGATTTGGGGTAGAATTGTGTTTTCATTTGAGGCTTCATTCAAGGACAGTGTCTCTCTGGATTCACTCCTCTTGTTAGAATTTAGGATAGCATCTTTCTCTTGATGTTCTTCGTTCCAAAATCAGCTCTCTCCCACCATGACTTGTGTGGCATCAGGGCCGTCCCTCCCTAGAGGCCGATCATGCAGGCTTCATGGGGCCTCACATTGCGCAGGGGGCCTCGGCTTATGAGCTCGGCTTGTGCGCAGCTCTCAGTGCAGTTCTCAGCGCAGTTCTCCGCTCAAATGTACAACTTGCGAATGTTGTATAAGTGTCAAACTTTTGCCAATTGCCATATTAAAACATCAGCTGCAATTCACGACATGAAGAAGGCAGTCTCTGCAATAGCATATAGGCTAATGGAGATGCAGTTATTTCCAGCATTCTTTATTTACCATTCATTCAAGTATTGTATGCCTTTTATCTGCTAATGGAAGAGTGATAAACTGTCTGTCTAGTTAGCTTACATAACAGTTAAAGTTTACAGCCTAAAAAACATGGAGCATTTTTCCCCCTTTTATTCATTTTGATGTCAATTTGCACATTTCATGGTGATGCTCAGCCTCTCCCCTTAACTCCTAACAGTCATCATCATGTCAACCACAACACAGAGAAATACTGATAGAAATGTGTGTGTAGTTGTTGATACATTGCTGACAGAGGGAACTACATTTGAACACAGATTTAAGAAATATCAGTTTTTGAGCATGTCATAAGCATGTTTTGTCTTGACTATATTACAACTATATTATAATAAAATATAGTATTTATATTATTGAATTGATTATGATGATTATTAGTAGAAGTAGTTAATTTGCATTAATTATTTGAATCTTTTTGAGGCTAGTATTTGGCAGGAAATGCAGACGTATTCACCTGAAAACGCATACTGAACGACATACATGCATATTTACCATTTACCTCACTGTATACAAAAGTAACTGTGTTGATAATAATAATAATAAACAGGAATTATATTTGCAAAGTACTTTGCTTCCAAAAAGAAAATGTCACTCCTGTCGGTGGGGGGGGCTCATCTCACAATGTCGCTTGGGGCCCCAAGGGCCACACAGGGACGGCCCTGTGTGGCATCATTGTCTGAACCTTGTTTCAGAATTCTTGCTTCTCCACTGTCATCCTTTCAAAAAAGGATTTAATCAATGGACGAACATCATCCATTCTAATATCCAACATCCCCTCTGTATTTGACCTTACATTTCTATCCATGGCTAGGGTTTCTCTAATGTGATTAAACAATATTTGATTCTGCAAAATGTTGTCTAAGTTTTCATAAACTCTGTTGCTCATACTTTCTTAAAAGGCCTATAGACTCGAAACTGTCCCTTTTTGCATGCTTTTGTGTGAGTGACCTCAGCATAAAAGCTATTCTAGAAGGTGATTAATTGACTGTAACCCCTCTCTGAAATAAGACTTGTGTGGGTGCATCGCCGAGTTTGACCACCAGACAGTGCCATAACCTTTCTTTGAAAACACCGTAGGAGTGGCTTGATAGCCATAAAGGCACACAATGTGATCAACATGTAAACAAATGGATCACCGACAATATTTGTAAGGATTGTCTCTTTTATCTCTCTTTAGTAGGGCACCTGTTGGCATCTAAGGAAGCAACTTGATTGACTAACACAATGTTTACATGTACCCCAGATGGTTTCCTTAACTCTGATGATGTTATTCAGATCAGTCATTTCAGCGAGGCATTATAATGTTACATCGTTAATGCCTGCAAACGGTTTTAAAAAGTCCTCTTTCAGATGATGAACAGAGAGCAGATCGTTGCCTGCCTGCCATCTGCAGGTCTGTCCGCTGAGGGGATCGAGGATCGGAAGGGATTAATCACCGCAAAGCTTTATCCCCCTTTGTAGATAATTACATAACCGTGTTATACAGAAAAAAATCATCTCCGGTGAACCGCAAGCACGGACGAGGAAATGTGCCAACTATCCGGAGACAGAAGCTTATTTGGCTCGTTGTGCGTCGACTCGTCAGGGGAGAGGATCATCTGCCCCCGCTGCCACTGAGCTGGGCTCCTCTTCTTCCTCCTCCTGCATGCGTGTTTCTGAGGGGACATACAAGATAGTCCAGTGAGAGACTGGGTGCAAAAGACGCGCCCACTCCTTGTTGCGCACTGGTAAAGAAAGTAGGTTATACCTGCTGTGCATCCAGAGAGGGTTTTTCTTTTCATGGGAAGGATACGGCTACACTGTTGCTAAAAACTCAGTATATCGTGCAGAGATGGTTCTCCAAAGGATTTTTCGTGCTGTTATTATGGGACCTCCGGGGTCGGGGAAAGGAACCGTGTCTGCACGCATTACCAAAACTTTTGGGCTAAGCCACATTTCCAGTGGGGACATTTTGAGATCCAACATCAACAACAAAACCGGTAAGATAGCGATGACCTAACTCAAACATACACCAAGGCAGTATATCTGTCCTTTATTTCTGTAAGAATGGTTTCTAGACACTATTGGATTTTATAAACCACATTTGTTCATATATTTATGTTTTCTTTTAAACACTTTGATGTATGACTTGTCTGTCTTACTATGCTGTATGAAGGATTTTAAAAAGTTCTCTATAAATAATTTAAAATATATAAATTAAAACAAGAAGTCATGAGACTGCATCTTTAGATTATTTGAGGTGTAATGATACTTGTTACACAAAAAGACACACAATTATATCTGTTTTTATAACCTTGTTTTCTTGAGAATTCACTCTTTGAAACCACCTACACAATGTATTTCATGCCCAAAACGCAGACATTCCCTCACTTTGGGTTGTTTCTGGTCTGCTGTGATAAAGGAGCCACTCCTACACCAGTTAGATGTCCTATCTTTGTGCGCTTGAATAGATACTACTGTGGATTCAGATAAAGAGGGTGTAAAGATAAGGCTGCACCTTTGTCCCTTTAGATGAGCAGTACAGACAAAGAGCTTTGTTATATGGCATATGAACCTGCAGCAATGCAAGGGCAAACATTATAATTTTAAAGCTCCTCAGTTGAACTAAATCCCTTTTGTTGTTAGCATCTTTGCAGCTTCACTGCAGCAGCTGGCATTCAAACAGTTCTTCTCATTGACTTTCCCAGCTCAAATCTCTCCCAAACAGTCCTTGGATCTTAACTAGTGACCTTCAACTTCCTAAACACTCACTTTTGTCAGACTGAACATGTGAAATGGCTGATTTTGGTGTGAGAATTGCAAACAATATGGTTTACAGAGACCAATGCATTTACCTCACACAATCCTTCTTTTGGTTGTCACTTATACTTGACTATGTTCCTTGCTAAACTGCTAATCATGCACGTAGCATGTTTGCTATGGTAACACCATGTTTTGGGTCCAGCTTGCATGCCCAAAACATATAGTGTGCCATTTTAAATTCATCCGTCAGTACCTAAATAATGTATATCTGTTGAATATTTTTTTGGTATTGCTGTATGTATTTGAAAGTCTATTTTTACCATTTAGCTTTATGGCTACACACTATGGTTAAACCAGAGCAGTATGTGAGCACATTCAGCTCATTTCTTCAAGACTTGTCAGGAAGTTCCTTTTTTTTCAGCTGGACTCATATCAATTAAAGTGGAAGTGAAAGGGAAAAAAAGAAACTGTCATGCCCTGACCGCCTAAATCCAGATTCTCCTGTCAAATTTTCCATTAAGTAACTTTACCCAGACGTGTTTTTGCTTGTTCAGCTTGATTGTATGTGCAGTTTGCAACATAGAATGTCTCGTAAGTCCATTATAATCACTATATAAGGGTTGAAGCAGCTAAATCACAATATTGTTATTTTGCTGGAGTAATTTAATAGCAATAGATGCTTTAGACAAATAGGTACAGATAATTTTTCATACTGTGGTTTGAGCAGCATTTGAAAAGTCAAGATAAAAAAATGTTGTTGTGAAAAAGACTGAGTTTTGTAATGAACAGCATCCTCTCTCTGTTGTTCTGTTTGTATCTCAGAGCTGGGTCTGTTGATGAAGTGCTGTATTGATCAAGGTCAGCTGGTACCTGATGACGTCATGTCCCGTCTCATCCTGCGTGACCTGAGAGTGATGGACCACAGCAGCTGGCTGCTCGATGGTACGAGCATTATTTCTGCTGGGAATCGAGTAATATCATATTGTCAGCATTGTTTGTTATAGAATTGTGAGATAATGAAAGCACAGTTAAATTCCTATCATAGATTTTCTTTGACTTTTTTTGTCCTTTAATGTTAAAATCAAATGTTGGTATAATTTATCTTACCCTTACTTCACTCAACTTTTGTCCGTCTGCTTCTTGACCAGGTTTCCCTCGTACAGTACCCCAGGCCGAGGCTCTGGATGACGCACACAGTGTGGATACAGTCATCAACCTCAATGTACCTTTCCAGACCATCAAACAGAGGCTCACTTCACGCTGGACTCACCTTCCCACCGGCAGAGTCTACAACGTGGATTTCAACCCGCCTAAAGTCCCTGTAAATACATCCTCTCTCACCTCTCACATATCCCGTTTTCAGATCTTGTCAGTATGTTTCCATATAAACATATATGCACGGTTCAAATGAACAAAGTTGGGTTTAGGCACCTGTTTATGTGTGACTGCTGGCGGTCACGTGTTCTCCCTGTGGCTGTGATTTTCAGCACGTTCCTGCAAAATGTCCTGCAGTCTGGAGGAGAAAGACAGTTACAGTTAATCATTGGCTTTGGTTTTTCTTCAAAGCCCTGTTTTGAGAGAAAACACTATATCAGAAACAGACAAGGTGACATATAACCTATAAGGTCAATGCTAATTTGTTTGTCTTTCTTTAGTTCTTTAAGCCCCTGCCCTTAAACAGCTTGAATTATTTGAGGCATAACTTAGGTGTTGCAAATGTGAATCATTAATTTCATGCAGATTTTTTGGGTCAGTACATTCCCTGCTGTTCCCTCACAACCCAGAAGTGCTCTTTAGAGACTGTGCAAGCTCTCTGGGTAAACTAAAGGCACTGTCATATTCCTGGAACTGTGCAAAACAACATCTACTGAAACACTCAAGGGGGTATGTCTCAGACCAAAACTTTGACCGTTTCTTTTGTGCGTTTCTTTTACACTGCCTTGAGATAATGTTAAAACAATTCAACACATAGACCTTGACTTTTCATTCTAGTCTTTCTTAAAAAGGCAGTTCAATACACCTGCTACTGTGCAGATACGTTTTTGTTCTGCTGGTTAGCTATTGGAGTCGCAAAATCTGTTAGTTAACATAAATGCTAACTCATTTCCGGCTTTACATTCATGCAACAAGTTATACCTCAAAACCTAAGGACATTACAATCAGTCTCAACTGTTCTTTGTGTTTAGTGAGGAAATGTGAGCGTGCTAATCTAAGATGGCAGATACAAATGGCAAACGTTAACTACTGAAAATCAGTTTGCTAGCCTGTTAATGTCAGAAATTATACTTTATTTCATGGTAAGTGGAATTTTTCATGCCAAGGAAGATTTAAACCCCTTTCACAACCTTTAACACATTATAAATAATACAATTAATGACGATCCATTTATTTGCTCCAGTATCAGGGTCCTGGTATTGTGCATGCAAGCTAACTATCATGAGTCATTGGGACACTTGAATAGAGCAGAGCCATTGTTAATCTTATTAGCAGCACCTGTGCTTTTCCCGCTGAAACAGACCTGTGGTTCCGGACAAAATGTGGTTATAAAGGATAAAATGCTGGCATACATCCCCCAACTGTTTCTGCTATTCTGGCTAATGTTTAAACTCTACATGCTAACAGTGGCAACACATAGCTTAGACACCAAATGCCTTTTAACGTTATTCAGCTTTTCCTATTTTCAGCCTGGTCTCTTTTCTTGGTCAGCTGGTTTAAAAGCCAACATCTGTGTTTCTTAAGAAGTGTTTACATTCTAGTCCCTTTGCTGTGTCTGTATCCTGCAGTAAATGGACGCTACAATATTCTACCTGTCTCACCGGTTTCTCACCACATTTTCTCACCATTTAAGTCAGCAACAACCTGTGTATGTGTTTTGTTCAGGGTTTGGATGATGAGACAGGGGAGCCTCTGGTCCAGAGGGACGATGACACACCTGATACGGTCACACTGAGACTGAAGGCCTATGAAAACCAGACAGAGCCCGTCTTAGAGTACTACAGGTAGTACACATAAATCACTGCCACCCTGTTTCATATGTCTCAAATACATTCAGACTTTGCATATACTAACAACTTACCCTGCAGCCATACACAAAGAACCTAAAGAAGAAACACAGGCACATGTTTGACTGCATTACAGCGTTAACCTCAGTGTTAGCCCCATTAATGCATTAATATAAGACAAAGCTACACCCATAGACCATATACTCCATATATAAAGGGCTACACCCAAATGTTGATGAACTTTGACCTTGGGCCTCTTTCTGCACATTCCTCACTGCTGGAGGCATGCCTAACAATCGCTTAAGAACCACATTCCAAGGGGACAGGCGTGTCTAACTAAGTGCTTTTGTTATTCAAATTCACAAATATTTCCCCAAAGAATTAGGAAAACTCAGGCAAAAGTACAAACACTAGAGAAATGAGGCTGTGGACCCAGTTTGTATGCGCATCATGATTTCAATTTCTGGACTAATTAGGCAGGAAAACATGTTTCTCTGTTCCCTCAAACCTCACATAGTGCTTAGCTTGTGTCCCACTTATTTTTACCACAATGTTTCAGAGTCTGTTCATCCTTTCCTCAAGGAAGAACAGAAAAGATGGCTGGGGATACAAGAGGATAGATTTACTTAAAAGGAAGAAAATATAACATTAAGGCTGTATTTTCTGTGTTTTTTTCCAACCCCCCCAGGAGTAACGGTGTGCTAGAGACCTTCACTGGGACAGAAACCAACATGATCTGGCCGCACGTCGAGGCTTTCCTCCACAAAAAACTCTTCTCCGTCAAACAGAAAGTTGCATAGAAGAAAGCCTGATCAGGAAAGCACAAGAAGGGGTAAAGTTCACCAGCAGAAACCACTCTGTACTCACATCGTCCAATCAGGTGCCTCTTTCTGTAAAACAAGAGCTATCTGTGCAATAATATATTCTGAATGTTCAAAGTGAAGAGCTCATAGAGTGTGTCAGGAAGTGTTAGTAAGACAACAGATGTACTTGGAAAAGCCTCCACTTTTGCACTGTTTCAACAATGCTGTTGACATTAGTTAAAAGAACTCCTAACATGTGGATATAAAGTACTTCAAAAATGGTATTGTCTCTTTATATAGAAATGTGCCTTTATAAAGCCAGGAGACTTTAATGAAACAGATATTAGAAAATCATTGTTCCTAAATAAGAAGTTTTAGTGTTTCTAAATGCAATCATTAATAATTTTCTTAGTTGATGAAAAGAATGGGCACACACAAGATATTTTTAGAGACATTTCATTTTTTTGAATCCTTTGAAAGCAATATTGTATGGGCATTTTGCCCTGGCATAACTGCCTTGGGGATGTGTTTTATGCCGTGGGAAAATACTAAAGGGAACTGTGCCATGTTTAACAAATTACTGTCAATTCTCTTTAGCATTTAAGTGCCTCTTTCCGCTTGTGGAAATGTAACAGGTATTTCAGTGAATGTAGTTTGTAAATAATTCTTAGATTAAGGACCATAGATTGAATAATGTATAAACCAAATGTATTATTTGGAATATTTAATTATTTTAATTAAACAATCATGTGGCAGCTTCTTTTGACCACCTTTAGTCTTAAATACACCCCATTGATTCCATGTTAACCAGACATTCCTCATGACAACCAATTCTATAAATGTATACTGATATTTGCCATTAAATGTGTCTTGACAACTGACAACTTAATTGAAATAACATTCAAACATTCAAGGTTGATCATCAGTTCTGTGTTACGCATGTCATCATGTTAAAAGCCACAGAAATGCTAATGTGTCCTGCAAATGTACTGTAGCCTCATTTATGCAGTGAATGTGTCCTGAATTGTACTGTGTATTTCTTTAACACTTGAATACAATGCTAAAAAGCACATCCTCTTCATAGACAACTGTGTTATGAGTTGCATTAAGAATCACAATAAACCTGACGCTGGTTTACTGAATGTAGTGTGTTATTGTAAACCAGTACTGAATAACCTCCCAGTCATTGATATAATTAGAATGATCTAACAGTTAAAGTAGCCTTCTACACCTTCAGCTGTTTTCCAACACTGTCTGACTCATGTATGAAATGTGACACACAACAGAGGTTTTTTATTTTTATTTTTATTGGTGCCTACATTATCCAGAATGCAACTGAAGACATACTTTCACATGGCTCTGGGTGCCTTATGCTAGTATCGGCTCCAAGCACAGATGAAGTGCTAGCTACAGAAGTCCACAATTTATCAAATGTTCACTACTTAGTTCTCTCAACCAACATCTAATAAATGTATCAGATTTAACAAAGAACTGTAGCAGTCAACAACAAAATACAAACATTTAGCACTTTGTTTTATATTTGAGTTAACAGCAGCAAGAGAAACCAATTCTTACAGTAGCCTTGAGAAGTGTATAACTAGATGTCCTACAGATTATAGCTTAGTGACAGAAATTCGTATACTGTCAGTCTCACAAATTCTGTGATAATCTTTAAATAATTTAGGATGTTGAAACACCGTAGATAGTGGCCACAGGTTCAGAACAACAGCTTAAGCCATACAATTATATTGCATAGTTGATAAGTCACTGTGACTAAAAAAAGGAAGAAAACAAAACACATTTAGGATCACAACACATCGTTTTAGTTCCACTGCTTACAATACCTCTGTTTACAGTATTTGATACTTCTTATATGTGCACTGTGCAGATCTGTGAAACAATGAAGAATGAAATGACAGGCGCACTGCAGAAGCAACATTGCATCACACAGAAGCTTTAAGTCATAATCACATGAATTGTACTTTAATGTATCCTACGGTACCTTTAACTCAAGTCTGCAGCTAAAATGTCACTGATTGTGTTGGTCAGCATATTTTCACACTTGTTTAGGCTGTCTTAAATAATGATTATGAAGGGGACAGTTTATTGGAAGCCTGATAAATCTGGCAAAAGCTCTCTTAATGTCTTCCAAAAGGTCAAACAAATCAAGTTCATCTGAAGCCTGGGAACACAACAAAAAAAACGACAAAACCAAACGGTATGAGGAAGAATATTATTCACACTCCACCTCGAACTCTGTGTACGGCAGACAGATATAAAGTGCAGGACACATTCAGACGCAGACTTCCTTTCTGCTTACAGCACAAGTCTCTTAAAAAGACCCCCCCCCACACACACACACACACACACGTGCTTTCAGCTCCTTAGTTGTACTTCCAAGAAATCTTTAACACACCTCTGAGTCCAGTCTGCAGAGCATTGGTATAAAAGGAGACTGACATGAGATGTTCCAGACGTTGAGGGAAGCTCGTAGATAAAATGTAAGCTAAACCATTGCCTGTGTCAGTTCAAATTTGAGGCTATGATTTTAAATCGTCAAATAAATGTATAAACTAAACAAAAGTAGTGATAGAAGATATTTTTTGCTGTTAACACTATAGAGACCAAGATTGCCTCAAACTTCCTTATAAGATTTTGCCTGACTTTCGCCTCTTTGCATCAAAACCGGTGTGTAATAAATGCTGAGTTGGAAAATTCTCCTCATGCACTATTGTCTATAGCTCATTATTCATCGCTGCATTATGTTAAGCTGCTTAAATAAATAAGCAACTGACTATTGTTGTAAAGAGTGGATTATGATGTCACAGAAGAGGACAATAAGAGCAAAGTCAGCCACGTAAACAATTATTATCAACCTCTGTTGCTGTATGTGGACTTGAGATTCAATGGACTTTGTAGCCATTACGTGTATTGAGTAAATTGCATGTGAATGGAAGATGTAGTCAAGGAGGAGGTCTGATTACCAAGACACCTTAAGCCTCACGAGAAAACAAAATAACTACTTGTTTATTCAGAAGAACTTAAACATTAAAACCACCTCTAGTGTAATCTTTAGAGAAGTTATAACTCCTGACTTTCATGTGTCAGCCACTCAGCAAAGCGGTCAAAGATTACCATCATTGAACTCTTGATTCACTTAAATCCAAAGAGGCAGCTGTCGACAAAATAATGATTGACAAAAGCAAAGTAAATGTTGCACCAACAATCTTAATTCCTCCCAACTCTGCAGCAAACTGCCTATCCTTCGAAACAGATTGCATTATTTATCCTCTCCTGTTAATGAGCCAGAGAGACCTTTGTGCTGCTTAATACATGCAAGTCAGTTGTGAGTCCAAACACTGTAAGATGAATCTGACCTGTTGAACAAACCATTTACTCCTATACCGTCATTTCCTTATAGCCAAACAAGTTGCTGGAGAAAACACAAACCCAGGTTAGCCCAACTGGAGCGCTTGTGCTCTCTGTATTTCTTACAGATTCAAACATCACTCCATTCAAACACAAGCATGTTTTTACCGAATATACAAAGTTACACCGACTGACTTTAGATTGAGAAAACGTGTACATTTGCCGGGAAGGATATTTGTTTGACAACTGACTTGTGTGTTTTACAGTAGCTACAGTATGGTGCTACATGATCAGTTGTTTCTGTTAAATGAAAATCTTCATAAAAAGCCAGCATCTGTCAGTCATGCTGTCATTTAAGCAGCGTTTACAATATTCCTTTCAAGTCCACTAACCTGAGTCCTACTTCAGGCATTGGATTTGGTTCCTAACTGCCCAAATAAGTGGTTTAGTATTCTTTGTATTGCCTGGTTTAAATGATCTATTGTTGTTTTTTCCTACCATGTAAGGTTTCCCTTTTTTTCCAGGAGAAATAAAAAATGCAACCAGCTTAAAGGATATCAGAAATCCATCTGTACCACCAGGATTATGTTGCAACACGTGCTTTTAGCCGTCATGAGACACTGCAGGAACTCCACAGTATGGACAACACTGAGGAATGTTTCTTATCGGCAAAACATTGTTTCCTGCAGTGTGAAAGACCGATCAAGTCTCCTTTTATTCCTGCTCTGCTCTGCTGGGTATAGAGGACTTTAAAACTCCTAAATGGGGAGGCGGTGGAGATGGAGGAGAAGCAGGAGCCTAGGAGGTCTCCATCATGCGCATATCGTCCGTTTCTGCAGCGTCGTTCTTTGTCCACCTCCCTGTGCTTGTCCACAGTCCGTCCTCTATGTAACGCTTCTTGGGATACTCTGACACCTAGAGGAGGGGGAGAGAGACCATTTCATATAAAAAAAACATTCACAGGTTACTTTAGTTGTTACTTTATCAATACAGGAAGCTCAGGAGAAGGCATGTTATACATAAGTAAAGCTCCATAGTGTAACTTTATCCTTTACTGCGTCTACAGGATTGTCATGCACAAAATCAGTCTGAATGTGGCTGGAGAAAGACGGATGGAGAGATCCCTGTTGCCTAGTTAGAGGATTATAATGGTTATGTAACTGCACTCTGCCTCTTTAGCATTGCATGCCCTAATCTGAGTTTAAGCTTAGATGATCATGAATTCACAAATGTTCAGTAGAGATTTTAACCATGAACTAAAACACACAAACATGTGCTTTTCTTTAAAGAGAGCAGCTTCTCGTGTACTTATTCTCTTCAAATTCCCCTCAGAGACTCACTGCAAAGTTCAAACAACCGAAGCACAGAGAATAAACGGGACGAGGAGAGCAAGAGCTTCACTTTCAACAGGCTCGATCACATTCCTGAGCAGCCATCTTCCCTGTGTGGGAGAAGGGGGGGTAGGAAGTGTTTTCTTTTTTTTTCCCCCCGAGAAGAAGTTTTGGCAGCCTATCAAGCTGTGAGGCCCACGGAGGGGAGGAGGCCTCTTTCTCTCTCGCCAACTAAAGGCTTACAAACTATAAAGATACAGGTTAAGTAGCCAGCATGTGGAATATGCTATTTGCCAATTATTTATTCTGAATAGTGAAATGGATTTAAAAAAAATACCTCAGACCTCTGTCCAGAGTGATTATGTGCTCACATTGCTAATACACCACTGACGTAGGAGAATAATAACGTCTGAGTGGGGATTTACTCTGATACCTACGCTGCTGATACGATGATTAGATGGAACACTGATGGTGAGGATATTATCTATTGGTGCATTCATATTGAAACATGAATTCATTTGTATAAGGTAGTGGTGGTCTAATGGATAGTGAGATAGTGAGGTGGGCTGAAGATTGGAAGGTTGTGAGTTCAAATCCCGCATGGAACACCACCACTAGTGTGCCCTTGAGTAAGGCACTTAGCCCTCAGTTACGCCAGGGAGAATGTCCCTGTAATTGGTAATTGTAAGTCGCTTTGGATAAAAGCGTCAGCTAAATGCAATGTATAACCAAGTAATACATATAATATAATCATTTCTTTCTTTATCACAGATGTTAATCACCATCGCCATTTAAGAAACGTTTAGATTGTTATACTGTGTCTGTTTATTTCAACAGCCTTGCAAAGCAAACCCCTAAAAAAACCAGCTTATTTAGCCCATACGTTAGAATGGAAGTTTTGACTTGATTTTCTTTCTTGTAACAAGTTACAATAATTGCTTAAGGGTGACACACTGATGCAACACAAGAGAAATATATTGACTATTCCCTTTTGCACTACTGCTCCGTTATCAAGTTTCTGTGTGGGAGATGTTAGGATTTTAAAGAGACACATAATAAACTCCATCTTTGGGCAGCTGCTGGAGTGCTTACTTGTGTTTTACTCCAGGTTTTCTGACTTCCCATGAATTTTCCCTGGAGCACTTTTACAATTTACTGTATGTGAAAATTATTATTTGCATATTTTGTGGGAATCATACCACTGAAAGATAGAATACGAGTGCTGATGCTCTAAAATCCAGCATCCAACTAAAGCCTTATGAGTTCTCCATTTATCAAAGCACTAACATTCAGTAACTCAGTGGTGCCATCTGCCAGCTGAGTAGAGGAACTGCAGCCTGTGAAGAGGAAAAGCACTTACTATAGGAAAAGAGTCCAGGGCTTCTTTGGGTTTAACTCTGCAGTTTGTGTCACTTTGTTGTGGTTCTACATTATGGAGTGCTTCACATCTGGACCTGACTGCGGATTCTCTCACTCTCTGTTTGAAGGCCTCGAGCTCTGAATGGAAGACTTCTAAGTAGACGTCTTGTCCTTCCTACGGAACAACCAAGCGACAATATTAGAAAACATGCATAGCTTTAAGCAAACTTTCACACACAGTATTCAAACTTTTTAACCACAAGCAGTGTCACGGAGTGTTTCGCACCCATCTCATTTTAAATCACCATGCCCTTGCTTTTTAACTGTAATATATAATTCCTGCACCCCTATGGAGACAGTACAATCATGGCTGGAGCTAAGGAGAACTTAAACATGTATTGTGCATTATAACGAAGTACAAAATTGGGAAAAAGGCAAACGAAAGGTCCTGAAATGTTACCCATATTGGAGTCCAAATGGGGGCTTCGCAAGCTTTACATATTAAACCATTTACATTTATACAAACTCCTCTTCTCCTCTCTGCTCTTTGTAAACAGTTGGCAGTTCAGTTGAAGTTTCACTACGTTTTTGTCACGCGACTGTTGTTCTCAGCCGGGTCAATCATGGTTGGTTGGCTCGACGAGCACAAAATGTAATGTTTTTCACAGGATGTGGTGAGTGCAAATGCAGGTTAAACATTTTTTTTTTTTTTTTTTTAAAGCTACATGTAAAATAACTTCAAGCAAAGTAAATAATAATATTTTTCATTTTCTGACAGTTTCTAGCTATGATGAAGGGGACAATTTTGGCAGTAGCCTACATGCCTTTTTAACCCAGGAGAGGACAATTTTGGGGATTGAGGGGATTCATCTCAGGTCATGTTGGGTCTTACTTTGGCTTTGTGGAAGAAGTGTCTGAAGCAGCCTCTGGGATCCTGCTGAGAGGTCGAGGCCATCTCCAGGATGAAGCGCATGACGACAGCTTGGTGCGCCACCTGCTCCATCAGGGCTTCTTTCTGCAGGACAAAACACCATTTTGATGTCATGTTCAAAAACATATGTACTAAGTCATTTCTGGATTTATTGTACTACTTTGACAAGTGACACCCTTTGATTACACTAATGAAAATGGCCAGATGCATTCTAATCTAAAATGACTCCACAACTGTGTTTTCAAGATGTCAGTGAACATGCTCAGGCAGTGGTTCTATGTTTAAAACGTGTTTGGAGTATTTCACTGTGTCAGGCTTTGACTACACATATTACAGGTTTTGTTTTTATAAATAACAACAACCAGGTGTTTTCAGTACATTACCCCCTCTTGCTGTAGTCTCATGCACCACAGAATTAAGTAGTTTGCTGTCTCCTCACAGATGATCTGAGGCATCTCTGCAAGGAATCGTTGACTGTCATCCCATCTGTGCAACATACCTGACACAAAGATAAAAAGCATAACGTTTCATGTTGGCTGGAAACAAAAAAGGTTTACTGTTAAACACAAATCAGGTGCATGCAAATCTTTCAAAAGGCCATAGTACATCTGGGATAATTACATCAAAACAAAAAGGTGACCCAACAAGTCCTCTTTCTTTTCATGGCCTTACCTAGTTGCCTGTGTCTGTCAAAGAACATGCAACCCATTCTGTCATGAGCAAACGTAACCCAAATTCTACATGTAAAATGTGCACTCCAAAATCTATCCACCATTATAAACCTCATCTTGTACTTAGTTGAGTTTAGTCATAACAGACGTTGCCTTCAACACATTCTATTCAACTAAACATGTAAAAGTCCCAACAAGTATGAGGGCAAGACAATTCATGAAAGAAACTTTATATTTTAAGTCTCATTTACCAAAATGTCGGAGCTCTTGGTCAAACTTTTGAAGAAACGTCTTGCACTTTTCCTGATCCATATCTTCAGGGAGATGTTGAACATTGATAATACTCTGGAAGACAAAAGAGACAATGACTAACTGTTGATATTATAAAGAAAATGGTTACAGACAGTAAGTATACAGTTAAATAAGAACATGTAAATAATCAACACAATATAATTGCTCTCTTGAAATACTCCATGTCATCTCTATGCGTCATAAGAGCTCACTTAAATTGTGGAACAAACACACACAAAACGGATAGTTTACCTTATCAAAAACGTCCCAACTCCTGGCAGCTCCGAGCACAGGACTGCGGCTGGGCTCCTGACCTCCCAGCATGCTCTCCTTGCGGCGCCACTCCTCCTCAGTGTGCGTGAGTTCGGTGGGGCAGGCCATTGTCCGAGCACGCTCCTGCTCCAGGGACTCTGAGCTGTGGACGCCCAGGGAGCAGAGCTGATCCTGGGCCTCAGCCAGTCTCCAGCTGGACACGATGGAGGCTTTCACACAGCGGCCCTGACACAGCGACGCTATGGCACAATCACAGCGGTGCGACAACGGTGACTGATGGGAGGAGAACAGATGAAACTGATATTAGGACTAAGAGAAAGGGAATACAATGTCAGAGAGTTGAGTCAAATTGACAGTTAATCCTCATCACATACACATCTATTACATACAAGGTGTGCTTTGTACCACTAAACCAAGTCAAGTCTATTTAAATAGCATATCTAATATGACAGGCATGGACTTAATGCGCTTCAAAGTAAGGGCTGTATGATATGAGGATAATATGCGATGACATTGTTGAATATCCAAAAATGATATTGCTTGCAATAAATAAACACATAGAATTGTGACCTCAGTGCCGTTCCTTTATTCTGCTACTATACATTGACAACATAATGCATTCAAATGCACACACAAAAGACATTCAAATGTTTTGACAAGAATAGAGGAAAGTGTGCAAATCTAAATCTTAAGTAAATAAATACACACTTTTACTTGTATAGGTTCTGCTTATTTAATAATCCTGTGGTAAAAACAACATCCTCATGATACTCTTCCTCCCCAAGTTTTCTAAATAGTCCAATTACACTTTTTTCCATAGATAGGCTCTTCGCTCACACTCAATCCCAAAAGAAATGCAATCCATTGGTTCAAGAGCTTTCAAGCACAACCATGCTGTGTTTGGTACAGGGTGGGGCGAGAGGAATAAAAACAACATACTTTCCATTTTGATCATGGCTCCCAAAACATCTAAATCCTATTCCAGTCAACAACAGACAGCTGAACACACAGCTGTCAATGTCTGAGAATGTCGAGGACCTGTGGGATTAAATTGAGAAGGAGAGCTGCTGCTTCATGTGATGATGTGGCCTCTTAATCTCCCCATCTCACATATACATGATCTCTCTCTGGAGCTGATAGTATGTTTGTATGTCCTGACAGGATCGGGACAGCCTTAGATCTGCTTTCCATTTCGATGTGTAAGAATGTAAAGCTAGCTTAATATATAGCTAGAGCAACTGGGTGGACATGAGGTCAGCATTCACTCTGGCATGCAGCCTGGACCCTGGTGACAGTTATTGTCTGTACGCTATATGCTAGCTAGCTGCTAATAAAATGACAGATAAGGTAGAAACTGAGGCACTGAATACACGTAGAAAAACATGCTCAAGCACATGTGTTGTTGTCAAGCAATGAAAGTTGGCATGAACCAACTTTACTGATCCCTTAACAGGTTTAGCTAGTTAGCATGCTTTTAATACCGTTAGGTTACCTCAGCGATGCCAAATAAGGTAGTTATTTCGTCAACAACGACCCGACCTCTAGCATGAGGTTATTACCTGCTGGTGAGTATGAACACCGCTGAAGCCGTTGGCTGCTGGAGCTGGGTCACTGCTCGACTCTTCATCATGAAGTAAAGCGCTGTTACCAAGCCACTCCATTGCTGCTACGCAACTAGCAGGCTAGCTTTGCTCCGCTAGCTGATGCTAGCTGTTTTGAAGAAGCTCCAACAGTGTGGCTCTCTGCTGTCAGCTGTTTGCCAGAGTTATATTTGATCTAAATGTCCCTCTGGTGAGTCAGCTGAGCTGACGGCGTAATCTGAAGCACCGCGGCAGGCAGTTTGGTTGCTGAAGTACAGCGTTAGCTATAAAAACAACAAGCACTAGCTGCCCAAACTCACCCCGGCGGCTGCGTTTTTCTAGAAGTGACGCGCAGACTCAGAACACGTGGTAAACAACTTTGACCACGTGACTATGTCTGGTCTCATAATTTTAGCTATTTTTTAACTTGCAAAGCCATGCAAAATGACTCATTTGAGACGAAAATATAAACTATATTATCCGATTAAATTCTGATGCATTCATATGTATATATATATATATATATATATATATATATATATTCAAATGTGTTGCTAATAAAGGTGGAGCTAATCTCAAATACTTTATTAACTTCTAGGTACCCTTATACACCATAATTGATAAGTTAAATATATTTAAGAAATAATCATTTGGATCTGCAAAGTTGGTTAGGCTACAGCTGTCAAATAAATGTAGTAAACATTACAATATTTGCCTGAAAAGTAGTGGAGAAGTGATAAAGTAGCAAGGAATGAAAATACTCAAGTGAAGTACAAGAACTTCAAAATTGTACTCGAGTAGCCTACTTGGGAAATGTACGTTGCCACATTCCACTTTGTTTGTCATTGAGTGACTTTAGTCAGGAGGGGGCGATATTGCTCTATTTACAGATGATCGACATGTATTTCACAAAATCTGAAATAGGCCTACACAAAAAAGACACCAAAAATACACAATAGCTCCATCCTCAAAGGTTTGTTTTTAGTTTGTATTTCTATAGAAAATGAGTCACTTAACATTGCAACTATTTCAAAGCAACTTGTATAACAAATAGGAAATAAGTAATGTGAAGCATTTGTTCTGTACAATTCAAGTTAGCATTTCTGAGAATCAGATCTCCTTCTCAGGATGTTTTCAATGTTTTTCTAGTGTATTTAGTCCTGTATTGAGACCTCCTTATAGGAAATAGTAACAAACTAGTAGAACCTATTAAAGAAGCAGAACAAACAGGGTTCAAGTGTTGAAATAACAAAATAACATATTAAAGTAGACAAAGAGATTCAATGTTAAAAATAAGTTAATAATATTAATAATAATACCCCCCACCCCTCTCTCGAAGGAGCCAGGCTTCCTGCTCTTATTTCCCAGAGTTCCCGGCTGCTGGCAGGAGAATGCTGGGAATATCCGGAAAGGAAGGGGAAGTGACATCACAGCGGTGACCTTCCGTACCAGGCCATATCACCTGGTGCAACCAAAAACACACCCACCCACCCACGCACGCACGCACGCACGCGCGCGCGCGCACACACACACACACACACACACACACACACACACACACACACACACACACACACACACACACACACACACACACACACACACACACACACACACACACACACACACACACACACACACACACACACCACACACACACACACACTCTGAGAGGCCGTATTGACACACTTCAGTATGCTTTTCAGGAGAGGAGAAAGAGCAAGTTCCCATGAAGAGAGAGAGGAAGCGATAACTTCGAGTATGCAGAACTTTGCATTGACAGGCTGAGTTAAACACATGTTTGGCAGGAAAAATTCCCAGCATGCTTCAGCTGGTTCCTCACATCAGCTCAGTGTCTTGCTTTTTCCAACTTGGCAAACCATCTTAAGTTAACCAGAATGACTTCATTACTACACAATTCATGGTTAGTGTTTTGGTAGAAGTGAGCATACAACTGAAAACATAACACCTAGAGTACACTGCAATTACTGTGAAAGAGTTTATAAATGGATGTTTAAATAGAGTTTTGCTTCTTTTTTTTTTAAACGTCTACTTCATTTTCACTTCTTCATTTTTTTATGCGTTGTTCACCATTGAGGAATACGAGAAAAACAAAAGATTCTACTATGATTTTAGGTAACACCAGTTGAGTAATTGATGTACAAAAGTTCAATTTGTGGACATATCTATTCAGGACCGTTCAAAGGATAAAACCAGACCTCCATCTTCCCTCACAATACAGAATACTCCCCCTACTGTCCGAACGAAGCTGAAGACCTCCAGATTTCCACCATACTGTTGTACGCACGTTTCACTCTCAGCCAGGCCCTCAGCAGACCTTTAACTGTAACACCTGCTTAGGCTCCGGCTTGTCTTAGCAGTTTAATGAAATGAATGAGGGTGTGGGGATTCTTTTTCCTGGAAAAATATTTTTCCCCAAGTACATTTAATCAGGCAGTAAGCTGGCCTATAGTTAGGAGGCCCGGTTTGTCCATATGATGTCCACCACACCTATGTTTGCAGTTCCACCAAAAATGACTTGCTCCATTACCCCTACCATGGTTTATTTAACAGACTAAATTAATGGAAACACATTTGTGTAGCAGAACTGTTCACATTTCTTCCTCCCCCAATAGTCATCTAACCACCATGGGGTCCTTTAAACTCAAGTATCATTTACAGAGTAGCTTTTACTTATGATTGGTTTTGTTGAGAATATTTATTTCTAAATTTGGAAGCATGGCTTATTGGTACATTGTTGTAATGGAGCTTTTTGATATTTCTAATTCTTCCACCGCTGCAAATAAAAAATCCTACACTTAACCAAAAACAGATAGAGAAAATATGCCATACAAAAGTGGATAGAGGGAAGGCAAGAACAAGCTGTACAAAGCGAAACAGACGTCAATACACACAGGTTGCACACAGATGGGAGCTGGACACACACACAGATAACATATGGCCAGTAGTGGAGATATTTACTGAGTTTGGAGAGCGTCTCAGAGGTTACATTCTTTAGGAGCAAAGGCTGCAAAACACATATACAAACCCGCGTACTTGCACAAACACAGACATAGAAAGACACATGCACACAGACAATGATATATAGAGAGAACTGTGCACAGGAGAGGAATGGCTAAAGGAGAGATGCCAGGAAAAAGGATGGAAGAGAGAAAGAACATGCAGAAGTCTCTTGATGCCAAATCAAGCAGGGAGGGAGGGGGGATGAGTAGTGATGGGGGAGAGAGAGGGAGAGGGAGAGAGTGTGTGTGGTGGAGACGTCATTATACACGATGACAAAAGAAGAAGGGATTCTCTGGTCAGCTGCTGCCACTGTCTATTGTCCTGCCGACAGAAGACCCCCCCACCTCCACACGCACACGCACACACACACACACACACACACACACACACACACACACACACACACACACACACACACACACACACACACACACACACACACACACACACACACACACACACACACACACACACACACACACACACACACACACACACACACACACACACACTCATATTGTGTTGGACATCACTTTCTTTCCTTCTCCAAGTTCAACTCTGATTACATGGCAGACCAACTGGCGGCCTCGGACATTTAAAGACCAGGCGCTAACCCCCCCCCCCAAAAAAACCCAGCTGTGTGTTCTCAGTGTTTTCTGTAAGTCTGAGATCCAACAGATGTTTGCTCCAAAAACACGGAATCTAGAAAAATGTGTGAAGAAAGTTGAGGCGTGGAGAAAAAGTAGCAAGAAAAACATGCTAACTTCAATGTGACTAAAGTAGATAAAATTGAAAAATATTAGTTGTAAAAGCCTATAGCCTTTTGAAAGTCAATACATATTAATATTTATAATATGATTAAATGATATTATTGAAGTTATAAAAAAGTAATATGTGATAATAGATGACATTATATGCATATACAAAGAATTCAATACATTATTCATTAACTTTTAATAAAAGGTGTAATGTACAGCCTTTGATATAAACACTATATTTAGCAGTCTGCCTGATCCAAACTCTACTTCAGTGAATGCAGAGTAACTCATTTAAACACTTTTTTGGGGTTATTTTTATAGGTGGAATTGATGAAAAGAATCTGCTCAATTAAAAGCACAAGAGTGCTTGTAATTAGTTGTTTTCCACCCATGGAGAAGTTGTATTGTCTTTAAAGAGGGATGTTTTAGACGAAGAGGCGATAAATTCAGGCAACTAATAGAAGCAGCTATGAATGAAGCTCTTTTCTTCCCTTTGTGCGTGAGCCGTGTATGTATTCGCCTCACGTAGTGGCCAAAGGTGCTGAGCTGTGCAATATCATTTATCTACCTCCCTGGTGTGTAAGGAACCGCGCACTGGTCAGGCTTAAGAATATCAAAATGTGTTTGTGTCAAAAGTTGCCAGTGTGAGTTCACAAATGTTGTTTTTCCGCGTGTCATTATTTCTGCTTTTAAATCAATCCAGAGCCAATGACCCTTGACCAGCAGACCTCAGAAATCCTCCACTGTCTCCGCACAGTGTGTGACACTAGGGTCCGTTCTGCTTTGATTGACCTCTCTTTGACACACACACACTCACTTGGGCTATATGACCACTCAGTGACACTTGCAGACAGACAGACACAATGGCAGAGCGAGCACATTCCTTTCCCCAGGTGGCATAAAAGACCTAGCCAGATCAATGGCCTAATGGGCTCCACACCAATGGCCGACGATCATTAACCCCCGATGAGTGCGAGTTCCTCATAGCCAGACTATTGTGTGACCAATGTGTCTTCGTATACAAACTATTGTGTGAGGGTTTCTTCTGCTGTGTGGAGCTGGTTAACTGCTGGATGAGGGGTCTAACTTAGGGCATTAGGTGGTGACAACTGTGGAGAGCTGGACATTAACATGTGCCAAAACAGGTGTTTCACAGTGACAAGCACACTGTGGCAGATTGTAACCTCCTATGATTGTAACTAGGTATATTAACTCAAGTAAAGTTATCGAGGTAGTATTTATATTGTCATTGTATGCTACTTTATACTGTACTAATCTTCTATATTTCAGAGGGAAATATACAAATAAATATTTTCACTTCATTTTTTGTATTTACCGGTAGTTGCTTTCCATGTCAACACATTAGAGTTATGAATATAATGAATAAACACTCTTAGTGCATGCATACAGAGAACTTTTAATAGACATTTACCTTGATTTTTTTGTTTGTTTGCACACACATAAGACTGCATAAAATCCATGTAATGAAAATGGAAATATGTGACAGGAGAGGTCAAAAACAGCAATACTCCACACATTTTCA